CAGTTGAAAATGAGTGAGAATCAGTAAGTTTGGGTGCTAGTCTATATTGCTTTTCCTTATTCAAGTTGTAAAGTTGTCCAATATGACTTTTGTTCGTTGTGAATTCATCAAATTTCAAAAAGTCATCGGAAAAATTGTTTCTGCTACATTATCTGGCAAGTGTATAAAAATTAAAACCTAAAATGATACCCCTAACTCTTGATCCAATTTTTGATAACTGCCTAGCTTCAATGAGATTACTTTTCATATCCAGTATTGATGTGGATGAATTGGTAAAAAAGTATGCAATAGTAGGCTCCAATAAAAGTTATTTAAATATACATTTGATACTTTGGTTTTGCAGAGATTTCAGTGAAAGTAATATTTTTCCAAATCAAAAAATGTGGTTCAACAATTATTTTTCTTTGTGGATTTCCAGTGGAACTCCGATTGTTTTGTCATTATATATCATTACTTGTGTGGCCTATACTATTCGCAAAGTTTAATTTCATCAAAATCAAATTTCATAAAAAAAGTCTGCATGTATATGGTCTAGAACAATTTTCTTTATAATTTTTGTTATAAGTTCATTCCTTCAATTTCACATAATAAATACTACAAAAACATACCTTTTTTCGTCAGTTGGAAATCGAAAAAAAATTTATGTCGACATCACCCTGCAAATTACAGCAACCCACAGCTTGACACTTGTTTATTTTGAAACTAGACACGAATTTTTCACAAATACAAAACCACCACTTACAACAACTCACTCTGTAATAATATTCCATGCCTCAACTTGGCTCGCTTGGTAAACTCATCTGGTTCAGTCGGTTGTGCTGTAAGTTGGCTGAGCATAAAATTCGAGTTGGGAAATCTTGACCCAAATATGGCGGAGAGTGAACTTACTTGTGTTTACTTCTATACGATGCTTTGAGAAACTCGGGGGAACTCGAAACAAACAATGATTATGAGTGTGTTCTGGAAAGTTCCAACCTCAATATGGAAATAGCAGCACTATTAAATGAAAGCTAATGCATTTCGTTGTTCGTACTCACGAAAGTTACAGGCATTTTCAACAAACAGTTGTTATGTAACAATCATTTGAGTGAGTTGACGTAAGTATTTTTATGAAAAATCGAGTATCGAACTGTCATTAATTATTTGTTTTTAAAAGGCAATATGCCTACAAAAATCAAAGATGAGTTGGCCGTACGAATTTTTGGGGCGATAAACGTTCGGGACATCCAAAAACTGCAACTACCGACGGAAACATCGCCATAGTTCACCAAATGGTGTTAGACGACAGCCGAATCAAATGGCAGAGATAGCAGAAGGCATGAACTTGTCAGAAGAACGTGTTGGAGACATATTGAATCAACATTTAGGCATGAGACAGTTGTCCGCGCGTAGGGTGCCGCGTTTGCTCATGAATCAACATTTCTAATGCTCTGTTGGCGCAGTATGCGTCTTTTTGGACATCAACTTTCGTTGAACAGGAACGCACTGTAGTTTGCCTTGCAGAGTAGGAACACTAGTACTCTACTTTTTGGAAGTCTAGCTCTTTTTCGAAACCCCACACCTGACACCAGTTTCATGTTGGTGTTATGCCATATAGGGAACCCACNGTTAGGTTAGGTTAGGTTAGGTTAGGTTAGGTTAGGTTAGGTTAGGTTAGGTTAGGTTAGGTTAGGTTAGGTTAGGTTAGGTTAGGTTAGGTTAGGTTAGGTTAGATATAAGAAGGAAGATAGAATACGTTTTATTGAAGAAAAAATTATGTGAGTTAGAAAAATTATTTGTCAAAAAAAATCTCAAAATCTACCTACTTTGTTGGTTAGGTTAGGTTAGGTTAGGTTAGGTTAGGTTAGATTAGGTTAGGTTAGGTTAGGTTAGATTAGGTTAAGTTAGATTAGGTTAGGTAATAATTTTAAAAAATTGATAATCCCAGCCAAGCATTAGAATATAGTTCTCCTATTGATTCATTTCTATTGTACACTTATTTAATGACATAAATGCGAGCGAAGCCACGAATAAAAGCTAGTATCATATAAAATGGTTTGAAATCCCTGGAAGAATCAATACAATTGAAAATTGAAATGAATAGCTGAAAAATAACAATTAAATTAAACGAAAAAACTCTGAAATTGAACCACAACGAATAAAATATAGGCAAAAATGAAACAAATGAAGCAAAAAAGGAAATTAAAATTGAAAGATTTCGGGCACTCCACGACGTTTCGATAGTCAGTATCCACAATCGTCTTTGGGTGATGACTGGACTAATGTCTCCGAGAGATAACTATTCATATGTCATTCGAGAGCTTTCACCTATCCCCTCTTCCCTATCCCCGCTTCACCAATTTAGCTAGAGATGGCCGTTTGGTGGGAGTTGGCCGTTTTCCGCTTGATTACCATATATTGCGTATTTATACGCTAGCTTGGCTGAATACGTTGTTGGACAACCATAATGCGGCTTCTTTGAATTTCCTTTCAAACCAGTGTTTCTCCATGTGCATAATATCAGCTTGTGATCACTTGATGAATCCAACATGTTGAAGTATCCGTAAATGCAATTCTTGGAATCGCAGTCCGCCTTTGGTGGCCTGGTTTTCATGAGGCTGCTACGGATAGTGTTTCCGAATCTTAAGCAGGCTCTGATATTGGACCCAATTCTTCTTATCCTTTCCGACAACCCTCCGATGTAGGAACGTGCAAGCACTGGTTGTGACGGCTTCTATTTCCTGCGAGGCTCTTGATGTCTTTTACCCGAAGACTGTTTCACCATTACTCTCCTTCTCGAGACCTTTCTTCGTATCATAGAACTCGAAAGCACGGTCTACCAGAGTCTTTTAGCTGAGTGATGGTGGTTGAATTCGTTGTTTAGATACTGTCCCATATGAGTGAGTTTTCGGTATATAGAAGTTTCTCACTTAGTGCCAGTTCTCTTCACCAATACAATGGCAATTCGTTGTGGACTTCCTTCTGCATTATGAAGATGATGGAAGGTCTTACGCTGTTGATGTGCTTCAGAAAGGTGTCTAGTTCTGTTACCATGGTTCCATATTATGAAGGTGTCGTCAATGTATCTCAACCAGACTCGATGTTTCTTGTGGTCGTCTTCAATGGCTGAAGTTTCAAACCACTCCATATATATGTTGGCTATAACTGGTGGAAGTTGCGATTCCATTGGCATCGCGTGAAAAATTTGTCCTCCAGTTGGAAATAGCAATTTCCTATAGAGGAGTTACTAGGATGCTGTGTAGGAAACTGCTATTTCCAAATGCAGGACGAATCATTTACGCAAGATGAGGGACTGCCAATGGAATTGCCACTTCCACCAAGGATAAGAAGAATTGGGTCCAACATCAGAACATGCTTAAGATCCGAAAACACTATCCGTAGCAGCTTCACGGAAACCAGGTCACCAAACTGCGATTCCAAGAATTGTTTTTACCGGATACCCTGTGAAACTAAGAGGCCAATGATAGTCCGCACTGCCGAGCACAAGAAACAAACACAGCGAGGAGAATTTCACAAACTACACCTAAACGATTTGGTATCCACAAACTTTATTGAAAAAATATATCAATAAAGTATTTCAATATCTCAATTTCGAATATTTCAATAAAGTTTGTGGAGATCAAATCGTTTAGGTGTAGTTTGTGAAATCACTATGGATCTTCATCAAGTAACGGCCGAATCAATCAAAAAAAAACAGCGAGGAGAAACCAGTAAATCGGAAATATCAGAGCATGTTTGGACTCATCAACATAACATCAAGTGATTCCAAGCTGAGATCATCCACAGGAAGAAACACTGGTTTAGGATGAAATTCGAAGAAGCCGCATACAAGTTGTTCAACAACATATGCAGCCAAGCTAGCGTTCCCTATCCCTAGAATAACTTATAATCATTTCTTGGAGGAATTAGTCCAGTCATCACCCGAACACAATAGGTTTAAATTTTTTGCTTCCATTTTATAACATTGTAATTGCATATCAGAGTTTTGTTGCTTAATATAATAATGTTTTTTTAGCTATTCATTTTAGTTTTCGGTTGTATTGATTCTTTCATTTCACCAGTCGAGCTTTCTCTTAGCTCGCCCAGTCGACCAGAGTGCACCAAATTGTCACATGGTGTCCTCAAACTGTCACCCAGCTAGCTGCGCGGTAAGACGACCAATCATAGTGTACCAAATTGTCACGTAGCGTCCTGAAGCTGTCACCCAGCTCGCCAGCTAATCAGAGTGCACGCTTCTGTATCTCAGAACATCGTGGCGGGAGATTCGAATTTTCCGTGGACATAAATAATTCAAGCAGGTAACCCACCTAGACAATCAGGATCAGGCGTATCCCTTAACGAGTCAGACCACCCAGTTACGATGTTCTGGGATGCTGAAGAGTGCGCTCTGAGTAGCTGACGAGCTGGGTTACAGTTTGAGGACGCTACGTGACAATTTGGTACACTCTAGTTGACTGAGCGAGCTGAGAGACAACTTGACTGGTGAGATGACGTCACTGTCTCGCTGAACTGACGTTGAGTCTACTAATGAAAGTCCAAACTAATGAAATTTCCAATGAAATATTGTCAACCACCTTCAAATTTAACCCAAATTATTGTAATTAGGTACCAGAAATTTCCCACCTTCCACAATCTGGAAAATATAAAAATTGTAATGGAGAACTTTCTACAGGTTTAGAAAATGAGAACTTCACAGTTCTCTCTGATTCAGTTCAGAATATAAACTATTCAAGGGACACTTTATTGTGAGATTTTGCAGCACAGACACGTCTGACAAAAAAATTTAATGAATCATTTTCTTTGGACAGTTTCGTTTCCGAACATCCCCATCAGATGTCAAAGTATTTCTGGAATGTGAAATATGTCAATGTTGTTCATTATCTTCTGAAACATTCGATGTGAAAAACAATTTAAAATTCTCTTATTCCTTAGATTGTGGAAGGTGGAACAGTCTAAAAAAACGTCGATCATTCTCGTTCAATTGTATCCAAATGTCTCACCTTCTGAAATCCTTCTTCTGGCAGTTGCTTGCTGCTGTTGGTCCGGAATATGTATATACATATCCCAGTAAGGGGAACGCTGATTCCATCTGTCAAAAACAACTTCTTTTTGAAGGTTGGTGGTGGCGCCTGAGCTAAGTTGCCTCTGCTCGCACAAGTCTGTAGTTGCCTGCTTGTACTTGGCTTGCTGGGATCTACAGGTACTTGAACCTCGCTGTCTTCTGCTTCTTGGTAGAACCAAAGCAGCTTGGTTTTCATGTGAGGAAGAAATAGCTGGTTTATTTCGTCGAGCTAAAACACAGAATTGAAATTTTGGTTATGTCACTATTTGAAATTTGATAAATATTATCATTGGTTCGTATATATGTTTGATGAAAGTGAAAATGAATGTGAATTCTTCACTATAGACCGTCTGTATTTGTATCTGTAGAGTAGGGAGGGTGAGTGTAAGCCGTCAGCACTTAGACCACATGTGACCCATTGTACATCCTCCCGAGGAGTTGTCCTCCTAGGTCATCGTCCATCCTGTCCTATTCATGAAGGTGGACAGATCACTGGGAGACATCACCTTTATATCGGCAGGTGTAGGTTAAGACTCGCCGAACACACACTATCTTATTGACGAAAACTCCGAGCACTCACACAGGACATGCCAGTCTCATCTTCCTATTCACACATCCTGCATAGAGGTGTATCCACTAGACCCATATTATGGAGGTGTTTCCTTAGTTGACAGTGGCCAGTCAGAAATCCTACTGTTAAGCGTAGATTTTTCCTGGTCATCGCCGGATATTTCTTCGGCGCCAGCTTTCCAGGGTCACCCAAGGTGATCCTTTGCAGCGAATAGTAAGAATGCTGAGTTCATTGATATTGAAGGATAACCTATCATAGTCGCATAATTCTTCAATTTCATTGAAGTCTTCAGAAATGGTCTCATGCAGAACCGCATTATCCTCATTGTGTTATGATAAGGAAGTGTTATCAGCAAAGAGGGGACTCGTGGCTATTATATTTCTGATAGCTAAGTCATTGAAATGAAAAAAAAAATTCAATTGGGCCAAGGATCGAGCCTTGAGGCACTTTTCGTTAGATGGACAGTAGAGAAGTTGTTTTCACCATTTGTTTGCGACCCGATGACTGAGACTGAAATAGTTAACCATCAACACTTGGAGGTCGAAACTTGTATAAAGATTACCGGGGTCTCACCTCAACGTGCGATTCCTAGCAAATAGAAAACGATAAGAACTCACCATATCTCCTTCGAAAACATGATCCATGATTTCACTTCTGGGAAGTCCAGTGGCGTCGATGAGGAGTTGGAAAGTAAACTCCAATCGGGGGTCCATTTCCCCCCTTCTTGCCTTGCGTTCGCATTCTTCTCGCCGACGCTGAAATTGAAGATAAGAAATGTATATCAATAATTGAGTTAAACTTGTTGCTGCTTCAAAATATGATAGAACTGACTGATATTTGATGTAAATCTATTATAACGATTTCAAAAAACACACTTCCACTGTGAGATTTCTACTTTGAAGTTTATAAAACCGCCACATGTGTTTCGCTATACAATAGCATCTTCAGGCGTCACAATAATTAGTATTGTACATCTTCACAATACTGAGTATACTGAAGATGCTCTTGTATAGCGAAGCACGAGTCGAGGGTTTGTAAACCGTCATGTCACGATTTTCTCAGAAGATGCAGAGAAATTTGAACAAGTTCTGGAATGATCACTGTCTCAGAAACTCGAAAAATCTACCATAGCTCTGTCCAATTCAGTATCAAGCAATTCAACTTCAAATTCTTCATCCAGCTGTCCAATGATGGGAAGTATCAACAGCAGTAGCGAACGCATCATCAATACTTACAACAAAATTATACTAGTGACACATTCTGCAGTCAAAACTCTTGGGCTCAATGGGTTGAAAAGTATTGCTAACACCTGTTTCATGAACAGTGCAATCCAATGTTTATCAAACAAGAAATGGTTACTGGAATATTCAAAGAAGAATGAATACATGACAGATATCAATACTGGTATTTCTAGTAGGGGAAGTTCTTTAATAAAAGCGTTCGCAGGAGTTATCAGTTGTGGTTAGAAGATTCATCTGGTAGAGTAGTGAACACAGTCTCCTCAGTATAACACCTTGTCGTTATAATATGTATGCACTTTGGAATCTCAGTGGGTCTACTTACAGCGGACATTACACAGCATACTGCAGACATCCCTACATTGGCACGTGGCATGAATACAATAATTCACACGTGTCACGCGTATGAAAAGAAGGAAACGAGTTTGTACCTTTGAGATAAATATCGAAGATTTGAAAAGTGAATGAGCCTTTCTACGAGAACGGATCCATAATACAGAGGTGGACATTGTCTTGCTGAAACTACACCTGGAATCAGCAACGAAATGGAACCTGAACTGGAACAAATTGGATAACATACCTGCTCGAACATGAGGAGTAAACGAGGCAGAAAACTACAAAAGGAAGTATGGCAGGATGCAGTTCCAGACTACAACGGCCTTCAAACCCGAATGGAGATAGTAACACTGAACCTGAGTCATATTTACGTCTCGAAAAGTACGTACTTAGTATGATGGAGATTTTGAGTTTGCATATGCATTGAGAAAAGTAAATGTTCGAATTGATAGGATTATATTATTAGGAGAGGTTAATTTTTGGGAAAGAAAATCGACCAATCGACTAAAAGAGGAATCAACAAGAATCTCGAACTTTCGGGCTCTGTAATATAAAGGAAGGTCTCGAGAAGGAACTAGATATCATCAAAAATGATCTTCAACGGAATGGTTACTCCAAAGCGATGGTGAAACAGACTTTGGCTGAGAGACAGCATGAGTCTCTCAAGGAATATAAACCGTTACAACCAGTGCTTGCACTTCCCTACATCAGAGGATTATCGAAAAGGATAAGAAGAATTGGATAAGTACAATATCAGAACCTGCTTCAGATCCGGAAACACTATCCGTAGCAGCCTCATGAAAGCGACTGCGATTCTAAAAATTGCATTTACCGGATACCCTGTGAGTGCGGAAAATCCTATATTGGTGAAACGAAGAGGCCATTGAATGTTCGCATTGCCGAGCACAAGAAACACATACAGCGAGGGGAAACTAGCAAATCAGGAATAGCAGAGCATGTTTGGATCAATCAACATAACATCTTGTGGTTCCAAGCTGGAGGAGATTCAAAGAAGCGGCATACATGTTATCCAACATTGTATTCAACCAAGCTAGCGTAAAAATACGCAATATATGGAAACCCATAATCAAGTGAAAAATGTCCAACTCCCGCCACACGGTCATCTCCCACTAAACCAGTGAAGCGATAAAAGGAAAGCGAAGTTGAATGAAAGTACTCGAAAGACCCATAAATAGTCATCTCTCAGAGAAATTAGTCCAGTCATCACTCGAAGACGATTGTGGATACTAACAATCGAAACGTTGTGAAGCAACTTGACTTGAAATCTCTTTACTTTTCATTTCATTGTTCAATTGTTCTATTTTTACTTGTATTTCATTTCAGGTATTTTTGCTCAATGCAATTATTATTTTCAGCTATTCATTTTTAATTTTTTATCAGTTCTTTCAGGGATTTTATATCATTTTATATAATATCAAACAATGGAAGTCCGAACTAATGGAATTTATCAACTATATGATATTGTTGTATAATTGTTGACCAATTTTTCTCTACGAGTTGGAATTGAACCAAAGCGCTACCGAAACAGCCCAAAAATCAACCAGGCACTCGGTCATGATAGCGTTAATGAACGCACTGATCGTTCGGGAGATTCCAGCCTCAAATATGACCCCCGAAGTCATCGACCTACAGTTATCCAAGACGAGGATTTGAAGACCCTGGTGGAGGCTGACCCATCACAAATGGTGTCTGAGATGGCAAAAAAACTAGACGTCAGCTCGCATGCGGTTTTTGATGGTTCAAAACGAATTGGAAACGTTGAAAAGCTTCCTCACTTGTGCACCTCCACGGAGGAAACCCCAAGAAGGTTGAATTAGCCGCGCAACGACAGTAATTTCGTTGGAGGACAACTCCTCGGGAGGATGTACAATGGGTCACATGTGGGTCACATGTGCTATGGGTCTACACTCACCCTCCCGACTCTGTAGATACAGAGATAGATCGAAAATTGGGTGCCCCACGAACGTTCAACAAAAATGGTCACGTTTCGAAGTATATTTCTTTTTTGGATAGGATCGTCCCATGTGATGAAAAGTGGATGCCCTAGGACAAGAAGAGATGTTAAGGACAGTAATTGGGCACCGATGAGACATCCAGGCACTTCCTAAAGGCGAAAACCCACCAAAAATGTCCATGGTTACTGCACCCGAGCCAAACCACCACAGCAGAGTCCTATTGAGAGGAAATCGTCGGAATGTACCAAAAATTGCGTTAGCAGCAACCGCCACTTGTCAACAGAAGATGTCCAATCTTGCTCCACGACAATGTCCGTACATTTCACAAATTATTGCCGAAAATCGTCCAAATTGAGCGTGAGAGTTCTACCTGACTCACCATTCTCTCCAGACCTCTTTCCAACCGTCCACCATCTAGCCAAGCACTCCGATAGATTTCTCACCAGTAGAATCGTCACCAATCAGGACCAAACAGAAGCGACCTTCGTCGACTTCATCAAATCTCGGGCAAAACATTTTCATGCTGACGGAATTAGTAGACTCATAATGGACAAAACTCATGAAACAACACAGTAATAAGCTCAAACACTAACTGAAAGGCAACTCAACGAATCATGCAGAGAAAAAATTGTTTACACTGAGCATCTTCTCTGGATCTCCATCGTCGTCTGTCTCAGAATCCGAGGTGGATGAGTACTGTCCTTGAACACCGCTGACGAACATTTTCAGTTACGATCATCAAAAATTTTCACACCGGACTCTGGAACGCGTTGTTAGTGGCCTTGTGGCCCCTTACGAATGCTACCCTTTTGAAAGGGTTAGCCGTCCTTCCGTGCTATTGAATTTCAAGGCGGGTGGCAGAGGCGCCAAGTGTGATGTTTCCATTTAAAAGCATGCAGGTAACTGGCACCGACCTATTACGAGTGTTCTGCGTTTTGGTGTGGGATGAGTTCAATAAAAGTTTTCATGAAATGGAGATACTCCGTTGTAATGTTCACGGAACAAATGTAGGACATGGTTTCTTGGCAATATCTTACGTTCTCCAATCGAATTTAGTACTGAGGAAAACATTAGTTTGAGGAAAACATACTGCGTCCTTCAGTTTTGAAAAATAATTGGCTATACTTACGTATTTAGACGTGTTAATTAGGAACTTGAAAGAAAACTTAGTACCTCATCATTTCCAGAACTACATTCCCTCAGTTCAAAAAATTTCAACTTTTCCGCTTTGTTTCTCCACAGTAGAAAATATTGAAAAACAAGTGATCACATATCACATCACCTCCACATTTATTTACCCTTTTTCGACACTTTTCAGTTCAATAATCGATTTTTTTCCTATAAAACGAAAACTTGCCCCCCCCTGTAAGTCAATGAAATTAATTCAGTGAATTGATATAGTTCGAATAAAGTATACTTGAATTGAATAAAGAACTGCAGTTATAATTACTTAAAATGTGGCGTTCTTGGACAAGTACTAATAGTAATAACGAGTGTGATAACAATGCAGACTTTTTCCTGTGTAGGGATTCCAATAGCGATAGTGAACAATGCTAAAAAGAGATACCAATGAATAAGATTCGGATTCATTTGAATATTGAAACATAGAGAGTATGTTTCAATGTATACACGATTCTACATCTCAAGTGTGGTTTCGAGGGAAACAAACTATTAAAAGCAACATCAGATTTGACCAAAATTCCTTTCTCAACTGTACGTAGAATAGTCAAAAACAAACCTTATTAACGCAATACGCGATGTGATACAGAATTACCAAAACCTTTAGATGTTCATTAAATAATATCATTGAACAAACAATATACGACTGTTACGAAAGCAATGAGATTCCTAGAACTGAAATCATAAGAAAGAAATTGAATACTTTCGGCCTCTTCAGAATTGGATAAAGAAACTAAAATTTAGATTTGAAATAATAAACAAATGTCAGACAGTTACGGAAAGCAGAAGAATAGTAGAATTGCGTAACAATTACTTGAAACAATTAACTGAATATAGACAAGAACAACGGCAAATTTTCTATTTGGACGAACCTTAGTATGACACTCACGACATAGTTACGAAAGAGTGGACTGATGGTTCGAGAATGTGTACGCCTAATATTCTACATGTTTAACATTCTTCGTCAATTTATATGTTCAATTTATATGTTCATTTTTACAGCTCTGAAGAAGCTTCCCATTAGAAGCGAAAACTTGGCGAAGTAGAGCAGCCAGAAACAAGTATCCGCGGTTTGCCCCCCTTTTTGGAGTGTTGTGTCCACGAATTGTTTAATTTTTTGAAGCTCAGAAGAGCTCAGAAAGGGAGCTGTTAGAAGGTAGGTTGCACTATATCGTTTACTTGAACTATACCATGAACCTGATGTTGACTTTGTGAAAATCCACATAAAAATCAATGTTTCAATGAAGATAGACAGGCTTCCTCGTAAGAATAATTTCGTGAAATAGGTTAGCGACATGAATGAGTCTTCTGTTACTCATATTCAACCGATAGGCATTTTTGAGCTTATGAGATTCTCTGATAACGTCTCATTACATACAAGTGTCAGCAAGAGTTTTGAACTTTTTGAGTTTTGCTCAATTGAATGTGGTCCATATACAGTATCACCATAGGTGGAATTTGAATATCATCATCCGTATAAAGATCAACCTTGCAGTGATTTAAATGGTGATAGGATTAGAGGAATGAAAAGCAAATACGGTCGGTCCTAGCATAGAGCCTGGTGGCACTCCTCGCTGATGGGAAAGTAGAGATAAGAAAGTTCCATCACACGTAATTTTTTGATTTCTTCCACTGAAATATATAGAAAATGAGGTAACAGCTGAAGTTGACAGACCAACTTGATTTAAAATTGATATCAATAAATCGTGGTTTAGTATCAAAGGCTCCTCTAAAATCGAGATACCAAGACTGTACCGATGATATAATGATGAGGTCTAAAGTGTACTCCAGGAGTAGATAACTGCAACAGGAATTACAATTATGAGTCTTCAGTGTTCAGACTCAGCGGGAAATCTTTTTATTTGGGTAACACTTTCACAATAGCACTTCTCAAAATCCTAGGAAAGACATTTTCAACAGAGCAGAAGTTCATTGAGTACTCTACAAGCAAGCTCTCCGAATTATCAGTAAACTGTATCGCAATTAGAAATTCAATGCTAATAACCAATATGGTTGACATGATGTTTTCATTAAAAAAACTTACATTCTGAGTTCCTTCGCTGAAAGACCTGCTTGGCATGGCTAGCCTTCTTATACCTTGCAATAGCACTAGCCTTCGGCTGCCCTTTTTGATTTTGCCGTCATTATTTTTTCTCTCAGCCATAATATCAGGAGTGACCGATAACAATACCACAATCGAAGCACTTCAGAAATCTTCGACTATTCTTTTATTTCGGGGCATGGCAACAAAGTTTGATCGAAGTCGCGTGATATTCGACACATTCGCGACACTACCACCAACCATTACAGACGGTGTATTTATTGCTTTTTGAGCTTTCGTGGAGAGTGTATCACTTGAAATGGAACCAATCAATAAAAATATTTGATGGAAAGGGTCCTGAAGTTGACTTTGACTCTTCTGGTTTGTATTTTTTGTCTTCGTCTGTCGAAAATGGACTTCTACATGGATCTGTACTTGGGCCTACTCTGATTCTTGAATATTTTGATGATCTATGTATATTTCGTTGATCTGATTATCGTGAAACTGACGAAGTATTTCAGGAACTGACTTTATGTGGGATTTTCACTCAACAGTTTACAAAATCGCAACACTTGTTACAGAATACAATAGTGAAGATCCGAGTAAACCCGAAAAAGACCCAGGCGATAACCATGAGAAAAATATCATCTTCTCCAGCCAAAAAAGTGAGAATCTCTGAAAGGGAGATTGACTGGCAGGTGCGGATAAAGTACCTCGGTCTTCCTATAGATCGTAGGCTCATCTGGAACCCGCACTTTTTAAGCGTGAAGGCAAAGATCGAGAGTCGGGTGGCAAGCCTGTACCCTCTGATAAATAAACGATTAAAACTAAGATAAAAAAACAAAGTTACAATCTACAACACGATGTTCAAGCCTGTCATCATGTATGCTTCAGGCGTCTGGGGACAGGCGGCTCCGTCCAATGTCTCCATCTTGGAGACTTTACAAAACAAATTACTACGGATGATTGTGAATGCTCCGTGGTTCGTGCGGAACGAAGCCATCCGCAGATATTTGCAGCTGCCTTCCATTCAGCAGTCCATTCAGTCGAGCAACCGGCAAGTTTTCGATTGCGCGGAAACTCACGATAATCCGTTAGTCAGGAAAACTATAGATTACGCTGTAGACGACCCCTCCCGATATAGAAGACCCCAATACTAGGGCGAATGAGGCCCTTATTTCCTCTGTTAATAGATGAATAATATCTTCATCCATCTCACCCCAGCCAGGTAGGGGTACACCGCGAAGGGCGGTACTTATGTCTGAGGACATTCATGCCGCCAACACAAAATCAGTTATGACCCATTTGTCTCTCAGACAGAAGACAGTTTAAGGGGTTGGGGAGCTAGACTCCAACCAGAATGAAATCAGGTTACGAACACTATACAATAGTTTTCTCAGACGAGTTCATACTGACTCAATTCTACCTAATTAGTGATCAGTTTGATATAATAATTTGAATTATATGACCAGTTACTTACTTTATGACTGATAATTGAAAATTTATACAGTATTGAAGGAATTTCACCAACGAATTGAATAAACATCAATGAACCAATTACCGGTTTCCAGTTTCCTGTCGATTGGGCTACCTATCGGGCGCATCCCCAGATGGAACGGCCAGGGAACTGGAGGCCCTGTCCGGGAAGCCAATGTGGCCTTACGGACGGGGTCGCCGGACTCCTGGTCAGTGGCAGAAATAACTAGGATGAGGGGAACTAAAACCCCCAAAAAGCTTTTGCAAAACATACCACCATGGACCAGCCTACCCAAGCTAAGGTCTAAGAAATCGTGCCGACAGCTGAATGGCCGCAGGGTGATATGCGGTCACGAACGATCCCCTTGAGGATTTGAGCGAAACCTCATTGTAATCAGCCTACCTCTGGTAATGCGGAGTCTGCCAAAGGCGACAAACTCTTCCCTTGCTACTCGTGGGAACACACATGAATGAAACAAACACAAATACAGAAACAACAAAAACCAATCCCGAGGCTGGACAGAAGTGCTCACCTCAATCTAAGGCGGTGGCGGAACAGAAATGTCCACCCCAATCTACGGCTTGGAATGAGGCTGGACATAGCAGATCACCTCTTGATGTGATTTGCGTCGCATTTGCGTCGCCGAGTTCAAAAAGAGAAAGAGAACGAAAGAGGCAGGAGTGGCAACAATTATAAGTGCCCCCTCCTCCTCCTCCACTCCACCTCCAACAGCAAGGGCACTTCCTGCGGCGGACGCCAAGAGCTCCGCCTTGAATAAAGGCAAGGAACCGGCTGCCCCTGCAGGAAAGCTCCCTCACTTGTGCACCTACACGGAGGAAACCCCAAGAAGATTGAAGAAGCCGCGCAACACCATTAATATCGCTGCACCTTCCAAAACCTTCACAAAGGCCACCGTGAGACACCTCAAGGTTGCCAAAGAGAGTGTGTGTTCGGCGAGTCTTGGCCTACACCTGCCAATGTAAAGGAGATGTCTCATAGTGACCTGTCCACCTTCCTGGAAAGGAC